GGGGGGGGGGGGGGGGGGGGACAAGATTGGTTGCGCAGCAACAAGAAGGTGGCGGCCATAGCCGCCAAGCTCGGATCAGACGAGGAAGAAGAAGGCCGGGAGTGACAAAGAAGAGAGAAGGGAAGAGGAAGGAGAGACGGGGAAGGAAAAGGAAGCCATAGCCAAGGTGGGCGAAGAAGATAAGGGGTGAGAAGACAGAGAAGGGGTTGACGAGAGAGAAGAGTCGGCAGCCATAGCCGGAGGTCAAAGAGTTGACCGGTGGCATTGACCTAGGTGTTGACCAAGTTGACCAGCCATTGACCAGCGTTGATCGGAGGCCGTTGACCAAGATTTTGACCAAGTTGAGTAAGTCTGTCTCTTCTTTCTGCATTGAGTCACTTCTATCTAGGTGATAGGACTCTGTGCATGTGGTTGCACGGGCTGAGTACGGCTAAAGGCCATGTCTGATGACTAACACGTCCCGGGACAAGACCCCCAAGGACCGGTACAGACCGGCGGGCTGCTCAGTGTGGCATGGTAGGCCAGAAATCCGGGTTGTAGGCTGCGCATCCGGCTGTCAAGTGTTGAGAGGACTCTACTGATCACGTGGTCCTGACTACGACGTTAATGAATTCCTGAGGAGTTATGGGGGATCTCCTTAAGTGCCCCATGATCAGCAATAGAGTCCTATAGTGACAGCCTTAGAGCACGTCGGACTAGAGACCATAGTTGACAAGATCTGATCCAGAGAGAAAGCTAGGTGGGATGGATCGTTGGTGCATGATGCACTGGGATTTGGAAAGTTTCGGTGACAGTGGCGGCGAAAGCTTCCGTCGGCTGTGGTAACCTGGCTGGATCAAAGGAGAAGATTANAGAGAGAGAGAGAGAGAGAGAGAGAGAGAGAGAGAGAGAGAGAGAGAGAGAGAGAGAGAGAGAGAGAGAGAGAGAGAGAAGGGGGGGGGGGAGAGAGGAGAAACGAGAGAGGCTCAGTAGAAGGGGAGCTGTGAGAACAAATAAAAGGGCCACCCCAAAGAAAGCCCAAGTAAAGATAGTTAAGAGAGGGATATAATGGATCTATTGTGCCCCATGTTGCTTGCTATAGAGGTAAAATTCTTTCCTTGTTGGATCAGCTCATCTAAAGTGTGCTTCATTGTCTCCAATAGAGGTAAAGCTGCTTTGATTTTGGATCAGGCTGGAACAGGGGCTGTTGTGGTGCAAATCTACAACACACACAGCAAACTCACAGAGAAGACGGATATCTCAGCAAATCAGACCGGCAAACGCCAATACACAGAAAGTAGCAAAAATCTCAGACTGAATCTGTGCGGGTTGTTGCACAGGCAAAGTTGACATGAGAATCAAAGATGTGACATTCAGAATACTTTGGAGAACTGGACTAAACTGGCTGGCGGCACCAGCCAAAAGAAAAAAAAACTTAAAAAAGAAGCCACCCTGGCAGCTCTTTTTGTTTTGTTTTGTTTTGTTTTGTTTTGTTTTGTTTTGTTTTGTTTTGTTTTGTTTTGTTTTGTTTTGTTTTGTATTGCCTCGGGAAAATGAGGCTGGTCTAACCTTTTCAAAAGTTTTTTCACAGGGAGAATGTTTTTTTTTTTTTTTTTTTTTTTTTGAGGGGGGACCTGCGTAGAAATTGGGCTGTGAACGCAGATTCACTGTGATTATCAGTATTAATCCCTGATTATTACACATTATGATGCTATGATTGTTATTCTCAATTTCTCACACTTTTCTTTTTTTCTTTCCAGCTTGTCTTTGTGGTTTTCACAGGTGAAGCTTGGGGTTACTTAGGCAGCCGAAGGTTTCTTGCGGAGATTGCGGAAGCATCACCATCTGTATCTGGCATCAAAGCTGACCAGATTGATCAGGTGGGACCTCACGATCTGTTCAGACTCCAGAGTTAGCAGGATTTTTAGCTGAATATTTTATTATTTTGGATAGCAGAAGCGTCAACAACATCTGTATGTCTTGCACCGCCGTGCACAGTGTGGTGCAGAAAAAATTGGTGTGGCGCTCGAGAAAAAATCAGAAAATAAATTTCATTAAAAAATTAAAGAAAAGAAAAACTTCAAAAAAGCATTTTCGATTTTCGTGAATTCGAAGCATACGATTATGAGGAAGTGTCCCTGCCAAGAGCTGTGACACGGTTTTCACCTTTACGGTAGCAGATGCAGTACCCAAGGCTCGATCCCTAGACCTCCCCTGACCCATGTACAGTACCCGTTGACCCGTGTGTGTTTGAACCCGCGACCTGCGTTCTGAAAGTTGTCTGTTTGGTTGTTGTAGATAGTGTGGTCGTCGGGTCTTGAGCCGTAGGTCTGTGTTTTAGGAGTCTTAGCAGTGGTCTAGGTCATAGCTGCTACAGTACCAAAGGGTCAAGTCCACAGTCTTCCGGAAGATCCGGAAGTGGCTCTTCCTAGATCCTAGAAGTCAGTCGTGTCTGAGTCAGCGAAGGGCTAGCACAGTCAGCGAAGGGCAGTCCTAGGCCTACCTAGCCTAGTCGGCGGTACCCAGTCCCGGTCGCACTTTGTCAAGTCAGTAAGTACCATGTGGGACTGTGCACCCGGGCCCGGCGTACAGACCAACGATGAACCGAAGTACAACTAAAGAGGCAGCGTTCAGTCATTCATTCATTCTGCCTGTGAGCCGTGCGGAAGTGCTGTCGGAGCGTCTTGTGTTCGAAGGTCTGCAGGTGCCCGAAGAGGAAGTGAACTAAGAGGAGGAAGACGCGGCCATAGCCGCTTGTGTTAGTGAGAGGTAGAAGACGGCAGCCATAGCTGCCGGTAGGTTAGTGGTAGAGTGTTAGTCAGTGAGTGTGTTGTGTGTATGTGTGCGGGACATCCAGGGAGATCCAGAGTGAGTCCGTGTGTGTGTGCGAACAAGTTGCTGGGTTACAGTTGATTGGCCATAGTCGTACGAGACAAGTTTGAATCTGAACTGTGTTCCTGGCTACTTTATCTCTGAGCATTGTGCGGGTGCAAGTTGCCAGCTTGATCGTCACCTGTTTGCATGCATGCTGAGTGTCGAGAAGACAAGTCTGATTGCACTGGTATCCGAGCTGGTTCCTGCTGTCCCGCCACGTCATCATCATCATCGTCGTCATCAACAAGATCGTCGCCACCAGCGCCAAGGCGCCACGTCATTGCCGCCCGCAGAAAGGAGGGAGGACCCGAGCGCCACGTCAGAAGGAGCGCCGTCGCTGCTGGAGCCAAGAGGAGGAGAGGTGCCACCTAGGCGCCACGTCGGCATCAGCGCGATTGCTGCGCGGCTGACCCGTTGTGTGCCCCACTGTCGCGTGCTGCCCGCAATCGCGCGTGCCCCGCTGTCGCACGCTGCTCGCAATCGCGCATGCTCCGCTGCCGCTGCGCGCTGTGCGTGGTTACACACCCAGCTGCGCCCGCTCCCGTTGTGCGCCAAGATCGCGCGCCTGCACGCTGCTATCGCTATTGTGCGTGTGCTGCCCGCCACGTGCCAGTTTTCCCACGCTCGCCGCACGCTATTGCCGCCCGTGCGTGCTGCACGTTACCTCGCGCGCCCGTTGAGGAACGTGCGGATCGATTGGTTGGAGCCACCTACTGCTATCCGCGCCAACCGTTGAAGAGATCCGGCCAGCTGACGAGCAAGGACCGCTAGCCACGATTGAAGAAGAAGCCACCACGCGCGCCAAGGAAGAAAAACCGTTGTGAAGAAGGAAGAGGGCCGAGCAGCAAAGTTGGAGTTGGGAGGCCATAGCCGCCATACCTGCAAGAAAGAAGAGAAGGACGACGGCGAACAAAGGGGGGAGAGAGAGAGAGAGAGAGAGAGAGAGAGAGAGAGAGAGAGAGAGAGAGAGAGAGAGAGAGAGAGCTTTTTGCTTCTGAAGTCATGGGAAAGTGACTTGCTCGGACTTGTGGCATTCTTCGTTGCGCCAGACTGATAGTGCATTGGAGAGTGACTTGCCAATTGGCGAGCTGCTTGTGAGAGGCATACTTGCCTCATCATTATCACAGGGTTAGGTTGATGATTGGGAGGTGGCGGAAGAGAAAACCTGGAGGTAGAAGGTGGGGGGGCGACACAAGACATTGTATATTCATTAGTGATTATTTGAACTTATTTCAACTTATTTGAAACTCTGGTTCACTTGCTATCTCTTCAAGTATGTCGATCTTTGAGCGTCGCAAGATCTGTGCATGATGTTGGTATTGTGAGCTCCTCTTTGGAAGTGGGTTCAGTACACGTCAAGCCCCTGACTGTTGCCTCCATCTGATTCCATGCTCAGGATTCGAACTCAAGACCTGCTTATCCAAAGTTGATTCACTCTTGGTTCCACTCATGCAGGGAATGATTGCTCTTCTTGGAGCCCTGGATGCCCTCTTCTCTTCAGCTGACGTCCTCTCCTTGCCCAAGCAGGTGAGTACCCACTGCGTACACCCATTCCTCGGCAAACTTTGTGAGAGGGGGCGGGGGGGGGAGGGGGGGGATGGGGGGGTGACTGGGTGTGGCCACTTGCTCGGAATGAGTTTCATGACTTCAATTGCAAATATATAGTGAAGCCCGAAGTTGATTAAAAATTTAAAATTCATTAGAAACTAATATAAAGTTATATGAACCCATACCACAGGTTCTGAAATTCTGAATACCTTTGTTAAAATAAAAAAAATAAAAAAAAGAAACAGTCCCTTTAACTCCCTTATAGTTGTGGTCCCTTTCTATTCTGGGGAGATCGTCAGTCTGTGGATACAAATTTTTCCCTTTTCCGGAAGCAAGACTTGGATGATTATTAATAATTAATAATATTTATTATAAATTTATAATCATATTTGAGAGAGAATTTGACGGAATGCTTCCTTTTGTTAAGGCGGAAGGATCCTCCAAACACCATTGACTGCATCCAGTGAGAGGGAGGATCAATGGTCAGCTAAGAGTTTTCACAGTCTGTGAAATTGACAAATTATGGGGCCTTTTTCTTTTTTTTTTCAGGCAGTGATTATCTACTTAATAAGTACCTTAATTGTATACCAGCATATAACTTATTAATTTGGCTCTCTTTTCTCTCTCGAGCTTGTCTCTGAAGTCGTCAGTAGTGTTTGGGGTTACATTAATGGACCTCAACCACACTTAAGCGGGGAGTCAAACACATGACAGTAGACTTAATGGCCCTTTTTCAACTGCCAATACCTTTCCCAGATATGATCTTCCACATGTCGAACCAGTGTCTTCCCTTCTCTTATCTTCTTCTTCCTTCCTCCTCCTCTTCCTCCTCCTCTTATGGACAAAAAAATACGACAACAAATGAACGAATGAATGAAGAGGAATCTTGTCCGAGTAATCCCCCTCTTATTGTCAGTATTCAAAGCGCTATCCTTTTGGTCATAACCTCTCTTCCCTCTCCTTGGTTGCAACTAGCACTATGGCAGAACATCCATGCTTGCCACGGACGTTCAGAGGACAACCCAATCTCCGATACCTCTCCCATTTCTTTCCACCATAGCCATGCTCTCAGTTGAAGTCCAAGACCAACTGGAGAAACCCATGCCGGGGGCCTTCTAGATGCAGCGTGAACCAAGGAAGTGAAGATGAAGGTCCACCATAGCCATAGGTGAGTCTCTCAGGTCGATTCCTCTCGCCCTCCCCCTTCCTCAACCTGAACTCCCTTCTCTCACCCGTCTCCATAGCACATTGGGTGCTTGACACCTCCATAGCCAAGTTTGTTGTAAGCATCAGTCAAAATGCAGAAGCACACAAGTGCTTGAACACACATGCAGCATACCGAAGCGCACCACACAGGAAATAGACAAGAGAAGAATAGAACCGAGTGCAGATATCGCGTTGCAAGAAAGAAACATGAAGCACATAACACAATGCATCAGGCGATAGACCCGACACTGTGTTTCAGCCGGTCGCCTGTCCGGCGTCTTGAGGGGTCGCGATAAACTACCTAGTGCAAGATAGGTCGCCTGTCCATAGCCAAAGCGTACTCCCAGCTACTCCTCCTTCATAGCCAGGGAGGGCTTTGTCTCCACCCTCCAGTTCCACCGCTCAGCAGGAGGTCCACCTAACATCTCCGTCTGAACAGAACAGCAGCATGACTGCCGAATGATATCCTCTTGCAACTGCCGCACAGATTCACTTAGGCTGTGGTACTGCTCCTACCGCTGCCTCATCGGTGTACCAGGAGGCCTGCCGGGATTTACTTGCCTTGTGGCCTGAACATTATTGCAGCCTGCAAGTCTACGTCGGGGCCTGAATCTGACCTCCCTGATATCCAGGTTCAGGCCCTGACTTCTCATGACCTTTTGGAAAGCTACAGGGTCCTTCTGGGCCAGAGGCCTACAGCTGGGCCTACCCGAGTTGCTGGAAAATCCTTGTTGGGTACTAGCCAAACTTTACTTGTGTCTGCCCTAGCCTCTCTAGAAGTCAATCCGGTCCCCAATTTCAGTCGTGTCCCTGTGGTTTCCTATTGCTAGTCTAGTGCTGCCTTGAACACACAAAGCACACAGAGCACGCACACAGTTGGTCCTCCGCTTGGCAATCATCACACAGGGACTTACACACATGCCCAAATGTCAAATGCATACGAATGAACATCATTAAGAGAACAGACAAAATATAAGCTGAACCTCTGAAGAAAAATGAACAGGAGTATACCTCCCTCTTTACTCTGCCTCCTATCAAAATGTCCAAGTGTGCCGTTAAGGCACACAGGTATGTGGGAAGCTGGCATTAAACTGTTATGATTCTGGTTGTTTGTTGTTTGAAGACCAACACTCACTCACATAGACTTCCAGGTATGCCCATACATACACAGAAGGAAGGGGAGAGGATAGGAGTATCACACCGCACAGGGAGAGATAAACACAGCAGAAGACTTGACCATGCGATATGACAGGGTACACTGAAAGTGCAATTCACTCCACTCAATCCTCACAACCAGTCATAGAGAAAAGCCGAGCAGATCACATCCAGGAAACAATGAAACGAGGATAGTCCAAACCCAGTTACACATTGTTTATTAAACTTAGAGTCTCGAATTGTCAGGATAACCTCAATACTACAGTGCGCTGCTCAGAAATGAGCAGCGCTTCACTCCCCAACCCTGATTAGCCACTCGTAACACCCCTGCCTCCGAAACATCAAGCGCCACCCTGATACAGCCTCCAAAGAGAAACGCCACCCTGAAACAGGCCTCTGAGGCCAATCGCCACTCAAAGGATGAAGAAGAAGACCAGCGCCACAGTATCTGATGATGACAAAGTGTCGGAAGACTCCCCGGATGGAAGTCTGCAGCAGCACCACCAAACCCTGACAAGATGACCTCTGAGGAAGAAGCTGCAGCTATGGCTGCAGCGCCACAACCCTGGAACCCCACTCCGGAGGAGGGTCCAGCAGGGCACCAACTTCTCTCGCCTCCAGCAGACCTCGATAACCCAGACCTCTGACAGCCCCTGCGTGCTGGCAGAGTACAGCGCAGGTCCCAGCTATGACCGGCGCTTCGAAGGTCTGGCTATGCCTGTCTCCTTCCACGCTGAGCCGTCACCACTTCCGGTTCACGCGTAGCGCAGCAGCGATGTACTCGGTACCAACTGCCAAAAGCCCTGAACCGATGTGCCCATTCTATCTATAGACTACAACTAGCCTAGACTCTACCTAGACCGGACTGACTGACTGCCCGGTACCGATTCCGTTTTGGCCTCTCGGCCTCTACCTTATCTGGCTATAGGCTATAGGACCGTCTATCAGCATAGGCCCTTAGGGCCTGTCTGTCCTAGGGGTAGCCCGGGCCTGCTATTCGCAGTTAGAGTAGCAGTAGGAAATTCAGTTAGTGTTAGGCCTGTATTTTTCCCAAATTTGCANAAGCTTCCGTCGGCTGTGGTAACCTGGCTGGATCAAAGGAGAAGATTATGTGGTCCTTAGAGAGTCAGTCAGTCAGTTAGTTAGTGGTGGAAAGTAAGTGGTGAGGCGTGGAACTATCACTTGGTTGTGCATCTTTCACCGTGGTGACCACGCGAGCAGGAACGAGCACCACCCTGTATAGCAAGGAACAAGAAAAGAAAGCTGCCGCAATCTTGAGAGAAAAGAAGGAGAAGATGGAGAAGGAGGAGCTTATTAAGCATCCGAAGGTGCTGGCCTGGATGGAGGAGTAGAAGGCCAAGCATAAACAAATGGAGGAGGAGCTGGAAAAGTGGAAGAAAAAGCAGGAGGAAAAATTGGCGGCTGTAGAGGCAGAAGCAGAAGCAGAAGCAGAAAAAGAAGAAGAAGTAGAGGAAGAGGAGGAAGGAGAAGATGGAGAAGAAGGAACTTGTTAAGCAGGCGAAAATGCCGGCCTTGATGGAGGAGCAGAAGGCCAAGCAAAAACAGATGGAGGAGGAGCTGGAAAAGTGGAAGAAAGAGCAGGAGGAGAAATTGGCGGCTGTAGCGGCAGAAGCAAAAGAGGAAGCAGAAAAAGAAAAAGAAGAAGAAGTAGACGAAGAGGAGGTTCACCTTCAGAGAAATGTAAGAAGGGAAGAGAGAGAGGAATCGAGTGGAGCGTGAAAAATAGACGCAAAGTTGGAGAAGATGGCGAACGAGTGGGTGGCCAATCTGGCCCTGGGGGAGGAAGAAGAAGCAATGTTGATTGTCCCTCAGGCAGAAAGGGAGGCAGTGATGAGGGAATTGGAGAAGGAGAAGAATTTCGTGTGCAGACAGGCCAAAGAGGATGAGCAGAAGTTAGAATGGAAATTGCGTCTGGCAAGGAAAAGGACGATGCGATTGGAGGCGGCCGAGAAAATGGAGAGGGATTTACAGGCTGTCGAGGAACAACAAGCGCAATTGCGGGTGCAGGAAGATCTCCAAAAGAAAGTAGAGCTTTTGTCTCATAATATAGAGGTGATCCTGAGGGCCCAACAGGAGCAGTTGCGCTATTTGAGAGGCCACGATATTGCGTTGCAGTCCATGTGAGTGGGCTTCCAAAATTTTGCAAGGGATATGATGATGCGTGTGGGCACTCAATTGCGCGCTGCCATGGAAGGCACAAATAGGTTTTGCACAGGTGCCATCGAAGGTGCCAAGATAGTGGCCCCTAGAGAAGAGGAGGCACGGTTACAAAAAGAGCGCGTTAAGGTCAAGTTCCCTGAGCCGTATGGTGGGAAAAAGGGGGACGCTTTGGACACTTGAGAACCAAGTGTTCTAGTGGCTTTCCACGCCCTAAAGGATGAGGCATCCAGCCTTGCCCGGTCGCTCGCCCATGCCGCCAAATGCAAAAATGATATGGTCGCGTGCTCTGCCATCACTCATCTGAGTGAATTTCTAAAAGCCCTCCGCGAGCGATTTGCAGATGTCACTAGGGGCCTTACGGCCTCAGACGAACTGCAAATTGCCCACACATGACAATGGAAGAGGGCTAGGGCACTGAAGGCTGCCATGAAAGAACTCGTCACCATCCCTGGCCATGGGGTCACTAAGCCCCAGTTGGTGCAGCTATTCTATCGCGCTATGCCCGAGACTTTACACGAGCACTTCTTTGACAAGCAGCAACAACCCAACATGACGTATGACACACTCAGTAGGGAAGTTGTTGCTTTCGAGGCCCAATGGCACAAGGACCTCGCCAAAGGTAAAAAGTGGAAGGGCCAGACCATCAGGCCAAGTAAAGGCCAAGATCATCTTATTCTTACTTTAGATGAGGGTGGTATGGAAGAGGTCCCTTATA